CCATAGAGCAAAAGTATTAATACACTCATTATACGACAATACGAATGCAACAATTCTATTTGGTACTAAATAGATTGAGTTGGTTTAAACCAGCTAAAAATATATATATTATATTTATGCAGGTACTAGTTGCAGAAGGTCTAGGAAAATATTGCGATTCAGAATTCGTTGGTCAAGCAACTCGTGAAATGCAAGAGGCTTTAGATATGACGCTGGAGGAGATGAATTTAGCTGCTAAGAAATTACTAGCAAACGAACAAAGTACTGGACGGAAATAATTTGAATAAATGTTAGGTTTCACAAATCTTAGCTAAGTACGAATTACTTAAGTATCACCTAAACGAAATTTATAGGAAAATAAAACAACCAACAATGTACGATGCTTAAATTCGCGAAAATCGTATAGTTCATCGTCAAAACGAAAACCTATAAAAATAATACGTATAGATTAAATGACAATTGTTGCCCATAGTAAAGCCAAATATATACATTAATATCTATATTTATTTATATGTATAGATGTTAAATTTTTTTTTAGTTAAAGTTTGTATATTATGTTTGAACGATGCGAATGTTGAAGTCATCGATAGATATAAGGGATGATATTATAATTTTTAGAAGTATTAAGATAATATCTTATTTATATATAAAAACCACACCATACTGATAAATATCTTTGGTAAAAGTAAATATATCGAAAGAGTTTGCACAATAATTACCCATAAAAATATCATCACAACGTGCCCATTATATAAATACTATGTACATATATACGTTGATGTTGGCCATATTTTTTCTACAGATTTAGGCAAATTAGATATGTACATATATGGACATACAGTGTCGGACAAAACTCATTGGACTAAATCGGGTCTCAGGCATATTCTGTCATAACTTTTTACATAGATGCATTAGAAGAATAATTTTTTTTTGCAAAATAAAGACCGCATATTCTATATTAAGGTACACTACAATTTTATTTTTCAACTTTTATGTAAAATTTGTAAATTGTAACAAAAATAAAAAAACACATCTTTTAGGCATAGATGAAATTAAGGTTTAATATGTGTGTCATTTATTCCATTCCAGGCTTGTTTCAGGGCATCAAATAGCTTGTTGTGGTCATTATCATGTTGGAACTGCCAATCAGGCKGCATTTTTGTGATAGCGTGGGGTAGCATTTGGGTTTGTAGTATATTTTTATATTGGAACCTATCCATGTTCCCTTCTATTTTGAAAATAGGTCCTACTCCCTGAGCAGAGAAGCAWCCCCACACCATAATGTTACCCCCACCATGCTTTACGGTACCCTGCAAATATCGACGGTCTAAACGCTTTCCTGTTGGTCTTCGTACACGTGTCATTCCATCTGAGTTCTGCAAATTAAATTTGGACTCATCTGAATACAATCTGTCTCTTATACACATCTAGATGTGTATAAGAGACAGGCATCCCCACACCATAATGTTACCCCCACCATGCTTTACGGTACCCTGCAAATATCGACGGTCTAAACGCTTTCCTGTTGGTCTTCGTACACGTGTCATTCCATCTGAGTTCTGCAAATTAAATTTGGACTCATCTGAAGCTGTCTCTTATACACATCTAGATGTGTATAAGAGACAGTTAAATGTAGCATATCAAAATATTTACACAAATAAAAGTAATTAATGCTAATGCTTAAAATGCGCCTAATTCATATCAAAAAAATTTACAGACACTAATGATTATCTTTATATATAAAAATCACATGTTACGTTGTTTTTCCACGATATACGCTTAAACTACTGAACTGATTTTAAATTTGATTGCACACCGTGTGCAATTGATCCAACTTGAGAGACAGGATAGCTTAAATCTCAATTTATAATCGCAATATTATATTTTTACAAATTATTTGTATATTATTTGACAGTCATAATTATTTGTTAGCTCCAAAAGATTCTTACAGATAGCGATAATTATTGATTGGATTGAGTAAGTATTCAACAGATGGCGCTATGTTGAAAATTCAAACGTTTTATATAAGCTGAAATTTAATAGCATAATCAGTAATTATTTTAATATTGAAATACAAAATAAATTTAGGTTATACCTTAGTTTCATCAATACGTAGTTATTATGCTATTAAATTTGTGCTTATAGCGCCATCTATCGAATTACTCAATTAAGCCAACAGTTAACATCATCTTTTAAAATATTTTGGAGCTAAGGGATAATTGTGACTGTCAAATAGTATACAAAGAATTTGAAATAAAATAATATTGCGATTATAAATTGAAATGAAAGCTATCCTATCAATAAAAAAATAATTTGGAATAAAATATTCAATTATTATTACTTTTTTAAATTTTTGATGTTGGCATAACCGGCCATGTGTTACTGAAGTATAAATTAAATTCTTTTATAGTGAATAGTTTTTAGCATAGATGTCACTAGCAGTACTACCAACTTACCGATTCGAAAAACACGCGAAGTATAATTTAAAAATTCTCCTTTCAATTTGGTTACAGTAGTATATACAAAAGAATAATAAAAGGCTCCCCATATTTTTTTAATTACTGTGGAAATATTTTTATTTTTATAATTTTTATTCAACTTCTATTAAAAATTATTTTGCACTCCTCATTTCAATGTGTTATAGTTTGAGTTATAGTCATGTTTTTGAGTTTTTTTAATATTTGAACGTTGAAATTATTATTCTAAGTCGAATGCCACCGAAAAAATGTAACCTCAACAACGGGCGAATCAGTGAGGTACGACGCAAGCGTTAAACTGCCAGATAATTTTTGTACTGTTCTTGAGGAAAAAAATTAATTAATTCAGAGTATTCTTTCGAATCTACAGAGTAATTACTTGAATCATAAATGGCTCAGTGAGCGGGCTATTTTGGCAGTCAAAAACGTTGATGTTGACGAAATTAATTTCCAAATACACCAGTTGTTACCAGGCGATCTGATGTCTTTTAAATCAATCTATACGGTTCTTAATGAAAATGAAAGTAACAGTTTTCCAATTGAAATTTTAAATTCACTAGATATACCCGGAATGCCACCACATAATCTTCAATTAAAGAACGGTTCACCTATTTTTCTAATGCGTAATTTTAACCACCTTAATAATGCAATTGCGCGAGTTTTGCTATCAAAAAGATCACCGAAAATATTCCTGAAAGAACCATATTATCTGGAAATTTTAAAGGTGAAGTGGTCCTGCTACATTTGGAAAATCCATGTTTTTCTCATGGGCAACTATATGTTGCAAGTTCACGTGTAAGAAAACCGTCGGATCTATTTGTGCTAGCTAAAACGGATTACCCAAAATTTTGTGCACCAATTACTTCTAAATTAAATTTGATATTAAAAGTATTGTTAATTCAAAATATTGAATATTATTCTTAAAGATTTAAAACTATTTGTTAG